TACAGTAGGATACATGACACTGAAGTGGGATTTTCCCCACAGTTGCTCTCAAGAAAAATCCCCACCTATTTAGTTGTCATTATGCAGAGACAGACCAGATCTAATAGTTGTGCTATTTTCTTAGTCACTTTTATCCCCTTCGCCTCTCTCACTGTATTCCTCACTTATAGACAACTCTTCCAAATTCAAAATTTTGCTTATTTCTCTTTTTTCTATAAGCTATTTTATTTTATTTTATTGGTACTGGTGATTAAACCCAGGGGTGCTTAACCATTGAGCCACATCCCCGGCCCTTTTTTGTACTTTATTTAGAGACAGGGTCTTGCTGAGTTGCTTAGGGCCTCGCTAAGTTGCTGAGGCTGGCTTTGAACTTGCAATCCTCCTGCCTCAGCCTCTCCAGCTGCTGGGATTACAGGTGTGTGCCACTGCATCCAGCTTATTTCTTGTTTTCTAAAACCATATAATAGGCTGGGCACAGCAGCACATACCTATAATCCCAGCAGCTCAGGAAGCTGAGACAGGAGGATCATGAGTTCAAAGCTAACCTCAGAAACAGTGAGGCACTAAGCAATTCGGTGAGACCTTGTCTATAAAAAAAAATACAAAATAGGGCTGGGGATGTGGCTCAGGGTCAAGTGCCCCTGAGTTCAATCCCCAGTACCCCCCAAAAAATAAATAAATAAATAGACAGATAAATAAGTAAATAAATGAAACTGTGTAATAGAAGTATATGTTTCTTTTTATTTTTATTAACAAATAAAATCATATATTTATAAATACAATGTACAACATGTTTTAAATATAGAATGTTAAATCAAGCTAATTAACATAGGCATCTTTATCATTTTTCTATGGTAAGAACATGTAAAAATATTTCTTTAGCAGCTGGGCATGATGGTAATACACCTGCAATTCTACCTACTCAGGAACTAAGAAAGGAAGATCGCAGGATTAAGGGCAGCATCAACAACTTAGACCCTCAACAACTTAGTGAGATCCTATGTCAAAATGAAAAGGGCTTGGGATGTAGCTCAATGGTAGAGCACCCCTGGGTTCCATCCCAATGGAAAAATAAATCTTTACCAATTTTATAGTATATAATACATTGTTTTTAACTATGTAGTCACCCTAGGTATATAGGTCAGTGGGAGAGTGTTTGCCTAGCTCTAGGTAAGGTCCTGGGTTCAATTCCCAGCACTGTAACAACAAAAAAAATCATATTGTTTGGGGTTGGAGATTTAGCCCAGTGGCAGAACACTTCTCTGGCATATGCATGGCCCTGGATTCAATTCTCAGCTCTGAAAAAAAAAAAAAGAAGAAGAGGAAGAAAGTGAACTATGCAGTCACCATATTGTATAAAAAATCTTTTAATAATAACAAAAAAGAAATTATGAGTCTCTTCACATACTTTATTACATTTATTTGTTTACAAGGCTGGAAGAAGTGTCCTTACTTTGTATGAAATTCAAGTGTACCTCTCATGGTTGTAAACAGCTTTTTACTTGAAAAGGATGTTAGGGCCAATTGTTGAGATGTCCTACCTTGGCCATACCTTTCTTCATGGACCAGGCGTGACTGCCCATCCTCACCAAAAGTTCTCTGGTTTGTTTTCTCTTCTCAGACCCATCCCACACAGACCGCCTTTCTCTCCAGTGTCGATCTACACACTCACTGTTCCTACCAGATGATGCTGCCAGAGTCAATAGCTATTGTCTGCTCCCCCAAGTTTCAGGAGTGAGTACACAGGACTTGGTTCTGGGTGTTATAGGGAGGCAGTAGCAAAGAAAGACTCAGCAAAAGATCTTTATACTGGAGACTTCTTCTTTATAAAATATCTAGATTGTAGCAGTAATTGGCTGCTTTCTAAAAGTCTATTATGATAAACCTATGATACACATGCTTGTTTTAAAAGATATATAAGCAATAGTTTTATTGCTTTTATAAGAGAAAATCAGAAGAGCCAGATGCAGTAGCACATGCCTATAATCCCAGCAATTTGGGAGGCTGAGGCAGGAGGATTGACTCTCAGCAACTTAGTGAGATCCTGTCTCAAAATAAAAAATGAAAAGGGCTGGAGATATAGCTCAGTGATAAAGCACACCTGGGTTCAATCTCCAGTACCAAAAAAAAATAAGAAGAAGAAGAAGAAAAAGTCCACAAGAAACTTAAGAGGGTTTGACTTGAAGTGATAAGCATTCCAAGAGTTGAGTGAGTTGAGATTAAAGAATTTCAAATATATGCTAAGCGGATAGAGCTCAGTGGTTGAGCACTTGCATGGCATGTGTGAGGCCCTGGGTACCATCCCTGGTTCCATACAGACACACAGAAGTTCAACATCAAACTCATTATATCAGAGTGTTACTTCTTTTTCATTCCAAAACTTGTTGTTTACTATGAGTTGTCCCAGCAAAACCAGTGTGGTAGCAGTGATGAATCATTCCCTAAGTATGATTCATTCACCAGAGAAGAGACGTGTAAGCCAGCATACTATGGAACCTGTCTCAAAATGACCTCTGTTCTACTATGTGTGAGAGTGCATGCCTGGTCCTTTGCTTGCCTCTAAACCTGCCCTTTTTATTTTAGAACTGGATTCTTTAAATTAACTGACCATGGGCTAGAAGAGATTTCTTCATGTCGCCAGAAAGGATTTCATCCCCACAGCAAGGATCCACCTCTGTTTTGTGTATGTATCCTGTTAGAAAAAATTAGAGCTGTACTGCAGGCAAGGAAGGTGCATGGTCCTGCCTGGCCCACCTGGAAGATCTGCTTTGTCACTTCTCTTTTCAGATCTCTGTAATAAGGACAGACATGAGAAGCACTGTGGGATCTAAACAGATTTGAATCTTAGCTCTGCCACTTAATGACTGTGTCTTTGAGGCTACTTACCCTTCCTGGGTCTCATCTTTCTTATCTGTAAAGTGAGGATAATAATAAAACATGCTTTATAAGGTTATTGAGAGAATTAAATAAAGTAGGTACTGGAAGTATAGCTTAGTAGTAGAACATGTATTTATCAGGCATGAGGCCCTGGGTTCAATCCCCACACATACACAAAAGAAGTAATGTACAGAAAGTATCTAAAACAGTACTGGCTAATTAAATGTTAGTTTTGTTCTTCACCAATTGCCAACCCTATACTTTGGTAAGAGATTTGAATGCAAAGGAAAAAAGCACCTAAGATAACTAAATTAACTATATTTGATCTAGAATTTTCCTTAGATAATAGGTTTTTTATATCCTTCCTCAGAAGTTGTTTTAATTTCCCCCAAAGTTGTGTCCTGTGAATAACAAGCTTAGATAATGATCTTAAATCAGTTTGTTTCAATTTGCCCCTCATATCTAATGTGATAGTGTTTTTTATTCCACACTGGCCTGGAGTATTACTATTTCTTTTGGGCTCAGAGTGAAAAAAAAAAAAGACAATATGAAAAAGGGACTCAGAACCTTGTCACTAAAAGGAACTGGGATATTTGGAAGAGAAACCACAGGAAGATCTGCAGTGATAGAAAAGCCAATAAATAAAAAAGATATAGGGAGTTCTTTTTACCACTCCCAGCACTAAGACTAAGACCTCAGGGAATGACAAGTCTTCAACTGAATATGAGGAAGAGCTTTTTCTTTTTTAATTAGAGAGTTAAATATAGTAGTTGGGTTTATCCCAATAAAATCATATATGCATGGAATTTGATTTCAGATCCTTTTCCCATCTCTCCTCCTTCCTCCATTCTCCTTGAGGAAGAACTTTCAGACCAATCTGTTAAAAAATAGATCAATCTGCCTTGGAACATAATAAATATCTAAGTTCTGGGATGTTGAAATAGAAACTGCACCATCAGGAAAAAAAAAAAAAAAAAAACAGGGACCAATGTACAGGTTTCCAGTTATAAAGACTCACATGTCACAAGTGTGTATTCCCCCATGTAATAATAGGTGTACTTTATTATCTGATTGGCATAATAACCAAAAAATTCACTAATATTTTTTTAAATAAATGTTTTTTCTTCAAATGGACATTTGAAAAATAAACAAGATATATGGACAGACCTTAATTCAGTCTATGAGTAGTGCTGATTCCCAGACCTGTTACCGTAACCGCCAATTAAGTGGTAGTCTGGTCTCCAAACTAGGAAACCATGGCCTTGAATGAGTATTTTAAATAAAGGGTTTTGAAAAATGACATTTCAGAATTTTCTAGGACTTCACCTTTCTTTTTTCCTGTTGCAGAGCTGTACCCATGTGACTGTTGTGGACAGAGCAGTGACCGTCACAGACCTTCGATGAGAATTTGTTCACACACCTTCTGAGGATTATAAAACTATATCAATGTACTGTAGCCCCTTAATTTAAGCTTCCTGGAAAGCTTTGGAAGTTTTTTAAGACAGAATAGGAAGGTAGCAACACCTGGGGAAGAATTGATTTTTTATTTCTGGTTTAAAAAGAAATAATTGATTATATTTTTTAGGCAAATCTGGAAAGGAGCATAATCTCAGTAATGCAACTAACTCAAAAATTAAGTCAAAAGAATGGTATGAGGAGCACCCATATGTCCTTCTTTCTGCATTCACCAAGTGTTAACCTTTTTTTCTTTTAAGCTATCTTATAATTTATCTGCCAACTTGTTTATAATCTACCTTTGAACTAAATGAGGGTATCTATGCAGAAATTTGGAAGCCATCTAGAAACCTTTTGGGTTTTCCTTTTTATGGGAATATTAATGGAGCTTATTACAAGGGTGGGGGACATCTCACTACATCTGAACAGACAGTGAGACTCACAAACCCTGATGAATGATTTTGTCTGGAATTGTGTTATTTAACAAATATTTTGGGATATATTTCTTCTGCAGTAAAATAACAACTTATTTTGTTGTGTTCTAGAGTGATCTGTTTGATCAAGCATCACATAAATAGGCTAAGTAAAATATCTAGTGGTTCTGGGAAAGGGGAGGAGAAAATGAAATTTGAGAGGTACTGACACTAAAGGTGTGTCCCAATTCACTTTTAATTATTCAGTGTTTTTTTCTCGGCCTACTGCCTTCTTCCAGGAGCATGAAGTCATCTCTGTTCTTTTGGTGCTATCTCAAGTGGGTCATCCCATTCACTTCCTCCTTCTGTACCACAAGCTTTCATCTGGGGATAGTGGAGTCTTTGTTTGGAATACCAGGTACACTCCAAGTAAATGGTTATCTTCCCTAGCTACCTACCCTGCTCATTTTATTGTGTTGGCTATTCTTTCCAACTTGGGCAACATCTAGGAAGGTGTGTGAAGCTGTGCTTGATACTACATTTTTTTTTTCTATGAGCTGAGCCTAGTGTTGTCCTAAGGTGGCCTAGAAATAATGGTGGTATTTGTGACAATTCATGTGAGGACAGGAGAGTAAACACCTTGGAGAGAATATTTGGTCTATATCAGAATGCATGGGGTGTAGGGAGTCTGAAAATATATAAAATTTTGCTTCATTTTAGATTTTGTGTCCTGAATTTTGTCCAGTTTTTATTGTTTAGGCTCGTGGTCCTTGAACCTTTCCCCTCAAAGAACCAAGTTTCTATATTCTTTTTCTTCTCTTGGATTCTTAACTCCCAAGATACCAGAAATTCTTCTGTACTTTTGGTATAGTTCCAAATGGGGAGCCAAGTGGATTTGGACAAGGGGAAGAGCGACTCCACTGATGAAACCCAGAGGCAGCCTGGCTCTTCCAACTTGCCCTGAACAGTCCTGAAATTGCCTGGTCCTATGTTTTCTAGGGAACCCATCCCTGTATTCCACTCTCTAGTTTGCCACTTCGTTTAGGGCTATATTACTTTTCCCCCCTGGTATTGGATATTGAGACCAGGGCTTTATACATGCTAAACAAGTGCTCTGCCACTGAATCACTACCCCAGCCCTACTTATTTTTTATTTTGAGACATGGTCTCACTAATTTATTCAAGTTGTCCTGGAACTTGTGATCCTCCTGCCTCCTGCCTCAACCTTTTGAGTTTCTGGTGCCACTGTACCTAGCCTATATTACCTTTTAACTAGACTATTACAATAGGCTTTTACCAAGCCTCTTTGTTTTTAGAATTTCTTCATTCCATATTCTACATATTATGTCATTTTTGTATTTTTTTCTTTGGCTCAGAAACCGGCAATGACTTTCATTCACCTGAAAGCCCAAATTTAGCCCTTATTCAGAACTTTCCTCCTGTGACCACTTGAATTTCTTACCTGTGGCTATACATTCAAATACCTGGGGAGCTTTTAAAGTGATACTGATGCTCATGTCCCCGCAAATTTCTAGGATATTGTTCTTATTTATTTTCTTTTTAACAAAAATTTGTTTATAAAGCTGATAGAATTCTCAGGTGGAGCCAGGGTTGAAAATCACTGCAATGGTTCTTTATAGCTAAGAATTAGGAGCTCTTATCAATCTTCGCATATCACTGATATTTGCAAATATCAATTCAAATTAAGTCCAAGTGAACTGAATGTGTCATATATTGATCACCAACTAATCACCAAACTGCTGTATTTTCTTTTTTTCATCTGTTCTTTTTAGGTATATGTGACAATAGAGTGTATTTTGACATATTATATATATATATGTATGTATATATATATATACATATATATATATATACACACATACATACATACATACACACACACATATACATACACACACACACACACACACACACACGGAGTATAACTTTTTCTAATTAGGATCCTGTTCTTACAGTTGTACGTGATGAGGAAGTTCACTGGTTGTATATTCATATATGAACATAGGAAAGTTATGTCCAATTAATCTACTGTCTTTCCTATCCCCACCCCATTCCCTTCCCTTCATTCCCCGTTGTTTAATCCATATGAACTTCTATTCTTCCCTCTACCCATCTTATTGTGTGTTAGTAGCCACCTATCAGAGAGAACATTTGGCCTTTGGTTTGGGGGGATTGGCTTATTTCACTTAGCATGATAGACTTCAGTTCCATTCATTTACCAGCAAATACCATAATTTCATTCTTCTTTATGGCTGAATAATATTCTACTGTGTATATATACCACATTTTCTTTATCCATTCATCTGTTGAAGATTACCTAGATTGGTTCCAAAGCTTAGCTATTGTGAATTGAGCCACTATAAACATGGATATGGCTGCATCACTGTAGTATACCAAGGAGTGGGATAACTGGGTCAGATAGTGGTTCCGTTCCAAGTTTTCTAAGGAATCTCCATACTGCTTTCCATAGTGGTTGCACCAATTTGAAGTTCCACCTGCAATGTATGAGTGAACCTTTTTCCCTCATAACCTCACCAACATTTATTGTTACTTGTATTCTTGCTATTTTCTTACCATTGCCCCTATACACAAGATACCTTAGTGACTAGATAGGTGCAGAAAATCAGTCTGTAGACATCCTCTTTGCACCTGCTACCATCTAGCCATCCAGAGACACTCTGCCCAGGATTCAGTGTCTCTCTTTATGTATCCTCAAGGGAGAGATATGATATCAAGCCAGCCCATAAGGAAGCAGGGAATTGTGTAGACTGGTGGGAGAAAGATGCTAGAGTTATAGGGAAAGGAAGAAAGGGATATTGTAAATAAGTGGGATTCAAATCATGAAACCCGAAGACAGAAACCCATATTGATAAAATTAGAATTAAAAAATAAAATTAAAAAAAAAGACAAAGAAAAAAGAAAGGATAATGACTACACAGCTGAAAAAGACCAACACACCTGGACTCTTGAGCCTCAAAGGCCAGGAGCTTGTTCTGCTCTCCCAAGATGTACAAGCACCATGTTTAGTTATCAGAGCTGAGAAGAGAGACAGAGGTGACATATGCATGATAGTCGGCCTCAGAAACACAGACTCTCCAGTGCTGAAAGAACTCTGGAAGGGCTGCTGGGGGTCAAGGTGGGACTGGGCTTTTCATGTGGTCATTCACACATACTCCTAGTTAAATGGGACCAAAGAGGAAGAAGAAATTCTTAAGCCTTTACATTGCTTTGAAGGGTACCAAACACCTTCAGAGGCAATGTGGGAGAAGCATTATTTAGCTGGGCCAGTATCCTAGTGTTTATGGCCTAAGAGACAAGGGCTTCAGCTTTCTATTGGTACAACAAAATTTTAAATGTGCTATCCCCTTTGCCTACTGATGGATTCTTCTGGGTTTCAGTTTCCCCGGTGAAAGGAGATGTTTTTAAGATGGGGTTGAGAGGATGGAGACTGCTTAGGTCAAATTCCAGTGAGTCCTGCAATTTTGGTCTGTTTTGAATGGATTTTGAAAACACAGTTTACAGACCAGACCAGATGTTGTTCCTAGAAAATAGTTTAAAACTCTTGGTATTGTATCATCCAGATACAATGCTTTAACCCCTCCTGGGTATGGAGACCCATTTATACAAGGATCTATAAAGCAAGTAAACCCAGAGTGGGGCTTCTTTTGGGGGGTGGGAGGCAGAGTACTAGGGAGTGATCTCAGGGACACTCAACCACTGAGCCATATCTCCAGCCCCATTTTGTATTTTATTTAGAGACAGGGTCTCAGTGAGTATCTCAATGAGTTGCTTAGCACCTCACTGCTGAGGCTAGCTTTGAACTAGCGATCCTCTTGTCTTAGCCTCCTAAGCCAGTAGGATTACAGGCATGCACCACTGCATCTGGCAGAGTGGGATTTCTGAGTCAAGGCTTGTTTTCTTTCTTTCTTTCTTTCTTTCTTTTTTTGATACTTATTTTTAGTTGTAGTTGGACACAAAACCTTTATTTTATTTATTTATTTTTATATGGTGCTAAGGATTGAACTCAGGGCCTCTCACATGCTGGGCAAATGCTCCACTGCTGAGTCACAACTCCAGACCAAGGCTTGTTTCTTTTTTGTGAGAAGCTTTGTGTGGAGCACTGAGAAGTCCTGTTTGGATCAGAACCACTGGAACATTATAGTCTAGAGAGAAAGCGCCCGGTTGAACATTTAAGACTTTGCTTCTAGGCCTATCTATTAATTCCCCAGCAAGTCAATTAATTTCCCATACTTCTCTAAAATCCCTAGAAGAGGGTGTTCTACCACTGAGCTACATCCTCAGCCCTTAGGGTCTTGCTAAGTTTCTCAGACTATTCTTGAGCTTGCCATCCTCCTGCCTTAGGCTCCTGAATGTCACTGAAGTCTTTACTCCTTCTTCTAGGCTTTGAAGTTTAGTTAGCTTTTGCCTAGTTTAGGTTAGAAATGGAATGTTGGGCTTACACAGTGTGTCTAGCAGCATTCATTGAGTCTGTTAGATCCAGAATCCAGTCCAATAGCCCTGCATGCTGTGTCCTTTGGTGATCAAAACTGTTTCCCTTAAAACAAGTCCCACATACTCTGGTGATTTTTCTCACTGGAAATTCACTCTAATAGCATGTATAGCCTGTTTCCCACAATTTGGTAGATTTTTTTTTAATGTTTTGTGTTGTTTTATTGTCTTATGTGAGTCATATCTGAACTCTCATGAAAATTCTCTTAGGACAAGGATCATGTTTGCTTTATACACCGTGTTAAATGCCTTTTACTCAGTATAGCACTCCTTATTGTTTAGCTGCTCCTTGAAATAGTATCCCTTGTGTTGAATCATATTTCAGGAAGCCAACTGGACCCATGTCTGAGCCTTGAGAAACTCTGCCCCCACGTTGTGAAAAGCCATCACAGCTCCTTGACTCAGTGTCATGTCTTGGGCCTGTGCTACAGCAGAGCTCTCCTTCTAGCTCCCAGAACAGGTGGTTGTCCTTCCCAACTGGCCCATTTAATGGGTTGTTAGAATAGGATGTACAAAGGCTGAAAGGGGGAGGAAAAAAGGAAGAAGGAAACAGGAGATCATGACACTGACATCTTGTTTAAGAAAACAAGGAAGGAAATAATTTAAAGGAGGACATTGGGGCTGGGCTGCATCCCCAGTACTGCAAAGGAAAAAGGACATCAGTGCTACCAGATGGCTCAGAATAGGCTTTCTGGACTAAAACCCAAACAAGTCCATGGGATCTTGCAGTTTGAGAGGCCTCCCCAGACAACCCCACTTAAAACCCTTCTATCTTCTACCCTGTTACATCACCTTCCTTACTGTCTGCATAGCACTGTCACTACTGGAATTGTTCTCTTTATTTATAGTTTTCATATATAAAGTACCATTCAAGAATAACAACTTTGT